TCATACACACTGCCTAGGTAGCAATTCAAAGGGTGACATAGATACTTTCTCAGAAGGAGGATATAAAATCTAATTAGTAAATAGCAGAGATAGGATGTAAACTGTGGTCTGTCTCCAAAGTCTGTGCTTTTTTCACTATCCACCCTCCCGAGAGCCCTTAATAATAGTAGCTATCATCTGCCGACTGCCTGCTACCACACGCTTTCTAGACAGTAACGCTAGTCTTTATAAGGGAGATAACCTTACAAGGTAGATGTTATCTTCATCTGACGGATGAAGAAAATGAGCCTCAGGGAGTCGTTCTTTGCCCAAAGTCACACAGCTCAGGACTCGACTCCACATCTGCCTCGCACCAGAGCCTTTGTCAACTGTACGTTGCTATCATTCTTGCAAAGTGTAGAGGGCACAGGGAACTCAATCGATATTATTTTACGTGGTGCCAATTAGCTAACTCCTGCACCATTCGTCATCTGAATTAAGGTAGCACATGTCACTATTTCCAGTATCCCCTCCCGTCCAGCGCTCTTTCTCCCTCTCGTCTCTCTCTCCTTGTCTCTTTTTGCTCTTTCCTTTCTCTTCTTTTTTCTCTCGTTTCCTCCTCCAGCCTCGTCTTCAGCACGAGGGCCATGTGAATTTGGGCAGAAAGATCTGAGGGCATCTTCTGATGGGTTGGATTCGGGAAAATAGCCACTCGTCGTTTGGGGAGCATAGGAAGAGTCGGGGAGGGCTTCGGTATGGAGGTGGCATTCAAGCCTGGCCTTGTGAGCAGCAGATCACCAGAGGAGGAGGGAAGGATGTAGCAAGCAGAACCAAGAACTTGTGCCAGGTCACGGAAGCCTCTGAGAATAGCAGATGGGTCAGTGTGTCAGGTAAAGATCCCACTCCATCACTTACCAACTACGTGACTGGGCCAAGTCGCTTGGCCCTGTTGGCTTGCCTCCTCCTCTGTTAAGTGGTAGGTATAATAACAACAACGATCACTTTATTTATACTGTGTATCTCACTAAGACTATGTAAGAAGCAAATGAGCCAGCCAGAGCTTGTTTCCTTCCTCAGATCGTCTTCTCTCCCTCTCCTTTTACCTGTATTATCTGTCCCATGGTCTGCGCCAGTTAGTACTGTGACCATCGTCACCGTCGTTATCAACATCGGCAGCAGGAGCAGCAAGTATTAACAGGGCAGAAGGGAGACATCACAGGAAACCAGTGTAGAGAGAAGCTTCCTCTTTAATGACTTAAGGAAAGCTCCTGCAGAAAGGATTTCCAGAACTTCTGGAATATGCGCACGGACAGGCACGTTTCGTATATGCCGCTCCGTGCGAAGCCTTTTGCCAGGGGTTTTCATACACCTTGTCTCGTCAAGTTCTCTGCGCAGTAGAGATGATTATTTTTAGCCCCTTTTACAGGTGGGGGGATCGTGGCTTTGAGAAAGTTCTCTAAGATATTTTCCTTAGAAAGAGGAGATGGGTCTCCTCACTCTGGGGCTAGTATTCAAACCAGGAAACCACAGTGGAATTTCCAACCATGTGCATTCGGCGAAACTAATCCCTCCCGCACCGAATAAAGCCTGTGACTCTGTGACTCTGTGCCTGAGAGGGAGCACGCGCTGAGCAGAGCGCTCTGGTCCTGCCCGACCCAGAGACTTCCCCAAACCCACACTACACATTCCGTACATGGTGTACCCAGGTCCATAGCGGCAAGATGGAGGGCTGCATTTCCCTGTGGGATCTGCTTGAAGATGCCTGCTGACCTCTGTCCATGGTGCTGTCCTGAGTCTGGACACACTGCCTCACCACCCACACCCCCACTCCTACCTCGCCCATGCCCTCCTCAGTGCTGGCAGGCTACACACATTTGGCCCGTGGCTCCATCTGAGACTTCAATGTCCTTTGGCAACTGAGGATGAAAAAGGTTTTTTGTCCAGACTCCAGGTTCTGACATTGCAGTCACTCAGCCTGTCCCAGTGTGTTTCAAAGGCCCGCCCTGAGAGGGAAAATGCTCAGTGGCAGAAGTTGTCTCTGCCCGGGCTAGCTGAGGACACAGCAGCCCGGGCACCCGAGCATGCTGGGCAAACTCAGGCAGGACGCTATTGGTGCCAGCACTTTGCTCATCTGGCCTCGGTTTGTTGGCCCACATGTTGCAACTCAGCTCTGCCTTCATAGGACGATAAGCTCAGCCAACAAGTTTTGTTTGTTTGTTTGTTTGTTTGTTTTAAGGCTCCAAGAAAGCAGGCTTCAAGGAGGGAAATGTGGCAGTGGGGCATTGTTTTTGACTTGATTGTCATGAGCAAATGACGTGATGCATGCGAAAGGCCATCATAAATCCGCATCCCTGCTAGCATCTGAACCCTAAGGTTTAGTGCCTCAGCTACCAATGCCTCTAGTAGGTGGCCATGGCCTTTATTTTCCATGTTTGTAAAGAGTGAGAATTTGAAGGTGAAGCGTCATAGGGTTCCAAAGCCCTGCTCCCCCAGGTCTTGCTCCATTCACCCAGCCAAATTTGGCTCATGCCGTGGAGTGAACCCTGGCTCCAGCCACATCAAACATGTTGCTGGCTCCCAAATCCAGTGCTCACCATCCCACCTCGGCGGCACCTCAGTTCATGCTTTTCCCATGCTCAGTATGGTCTCCTCACTGCCTAGCCCAACCCTACCCGCCCCCAGGGACTCCGCACTTCTTCCGCCTCCTGACCAGAGAGGCTCCAGCTCATTTTTGCCTCTCGCGCAGCCCTCACTCTGCGCGGCCTGAGTATGGCTTTCCTTTCTTTCCATCCCTAGGCTAATAAACTATTGGCTCCTTGGAGTTAAAGGCTATGCCTTTAATTGTCTCTGTTTTCCCCTGAGACCTAACGCAGGGACCTAGCCAAAGAGGAGCTGAATAACTCATAGAACGAGGTTCCCCTTGCCCCTCCTAGGGCTGCCGAAAGGGAAAAAAAGGAACTTCTGTCTATGGTCAGGGGGGAGAAAGGTCTTATTTTCTAACGCTGTTTAGGACAAGGGAAGTATCAAGGAAGTGTCTCAGTCCCCCTTATTTAATGGGGTCCCTCCATGTGCTCAGTGCTGCCCCTCAAACAAGAGGAACAGCCGAGACCGGTTTCGATTTACTGACTTCTCAAATCTGGACCCGCTCAGTTCTTTTGGGCCATCCTTTCGAATTCACCAGGGAAAGGTGCCATGAAGTTTTATAGTCTCTGAGTACAATAGTGGTAAATTATATGAAAAATAATATGGTGGTTTCCTACGTTCTATATGCATATGATACTGTGATAATGTTATTCTGTCATTCACCTTATTTTACCCCCTCTAGGTTAAGGCAGAACATAAATTTGAGCTGAAAAGTATCCTGTGTCTGTCCTCAGCATGATGTAAAGAAACTTTCCGGGTCTCGCTACAGCATGGCAGTGGTAACTCCTGTGCCTCCCCAAATCCGAGATGGTATAGCTCCCTTCACTGGGAACAGCCCATTTGGGGGACTGTTAGGGAGCATGGCAGGCTGAAAACCATAACACCCTTGGCACATGGGCTGCATCTGAAAGGCTGTGGCCATTTTGGAAAACCAGTTCCATAGGCTAAGAATCCCCCAGGCGTGTAACATAGAAGTAATGGAGGAGTGAAATGTTTTTTCCCCAAAGAGAAACTCCAATAAAGTCTCTTTCAATCTTTGCCATCGAGCTCTATTAGCCAGTGAATAAAGAGATTATGCTCTCTGCTTCCCACTGGGAGAAACCGAGGGTCGGAGAGGTTCTGCGATTTTCTGAACATCACACAGTCTGTCAATGGCAAAATTAAGGTCAAAACTCAAGATTCCAGGACTTAATCTCATACTCCTTCATTATCCCACTTTGCCCTCATGGACATGCTACAATTGAATAGCAGCAGCCAGTTTTTCCCAACTGACGCCTTAGCGCATTGAAGTCTCACAGTAATTCTTCCCTTTATATTTACCTTACAGGGAGAATGGCTATGTAAGGGAGCCTTTGTTACTTTTTTAGTCGATGAAACGCCAGGGAAAGGGATGACGTGAGCTAAGACAGCTGCCTTGACCCGAGTTCCACCCTAGACAAGCAAAGAATGTAGTCAAAATCTGATCAATGCCTTTAGATGGAATGCCTCTTTAAAAAAAAAAAATTATTATTATTTATGCCTCCAGTGCCTGTTCTTCCTAGGTGGTCCCCCATCCAAGTACTAACCAGGCCCAGCCCTGCTTAGCTTCTGAGATCAGACATTGGGCTTGTTCAGGGTGGCATGGCCGTAGACCATGGGCCGTGGCTCCCCTGGGGCGCGAACCCAGGACCTTCTGCGTGTAAAGCGGACGTGCTCACCGCTACACTATGGAACCACGCCCTTGAGTGCCTCTGTTGTACAAGGTGCTGTGGTCAGGTATGGGCACCAAAGTTAAAAGTACCTGCTTTCAAGTGAAACCAGTATTCTGAAGATAAATCTGGACTCCCGTGTCCATTGCACCATTATTCACAATAGACAAGATATGGAAACAGTCTAAGTATCTGTCAATAGATGAATAAAGAAAAATATCACACACACGCACACACACACACACGCACACGAATATTATTCAGCCTAAGAAGGAAATCCTGCCATTTGTGACAACATGGATGAACCCCAGGGACATTATGCTAAGTGAAATAAGGCAGATACAGAAAGATGAGTACTTTAAAATTCGACTTATTCGTGGAATCTAAAAAAGTTGAACTTGTTAAAACAGAGTAGAATGGTGGTTGATAGGGGCCGTGGGTTGGGGAGACGGGGAGCTGCTGGTCAAAGGACCTTAAGTTGCAGTTATGCAGGGTGAGTAAATTCTGGAGATCTAATGTACAGTATGGTAACTACAAGTATTTTATACTTGTAATTTGCTAAGAAAGTCGATCTTAAGTGTTTTCACCACACCAAAAAAAAAAGCATAAGTATGTGAATGATAGATGTGTTAATTAGCCTGATGGTGGTAATCATTGCAAAATGTGTATGTATATCAGAACATCACATTGTACACATTAGATATAGATTTTATTTGTAAATGTAAAAAACACCATGTTTTCCTCTCTGTAATTGAAGAGTCTAGAAGGGGAAGAACACATTAGCAGACAGAATCAGTACCATGGGCTGAGTATCACGACTAAGGTAAACACGGCTGCTACGGGAGCGCAGAGGACAGCAGGGTGGCCTACAGGTGGGGCTGGGGTCGCAGAAGTTTCCCTGGAGCAACCAGAACTAACGGTGCCCGGCCCACGGAAATCTCTTCATAAAATTAGCTAGTACACTATGGCAATAGACATCGCCCCTGCCCTCAAGGCGCTCACGGTCTAGCAAGGGAGAGAGTATAAATGCATAACTGTAATGATATGTAGTTCATGCTAAACTGTCTGTTAGAGACGCCCGGAACGGAGAAGCGTCCAGTCAGTGAAAGCTGCCTACGTGCCGAGCACTGTTCCAACAGTACGTGTATACACACATTCCTTCATGTAGTTCCCACGGCAATCCTATGTTTAATTCTATGTCCTTCGATTTTTGGTGAGGAGGCTGAGGCACAAAGAAGTAAAATAACTGACCCAAGGCCGAGTGAGTTACAAGTAATGAATTGTGTCAACTGGTCACGTGAGAAAGAAAAGGCCGCAGCCCCCGACACCTGGAAGCTGGCCCGGCACTCACTGGGAGGCCGCGTTGTTCTCTCGTTGGACATAATCTCACAAAATACTGCCATCGGACAAGGTTACTGTGAGAACATGATAAAGTGAGACAAAACAGTGCCACGTGGTTTAGTCTAAGCACAGACAAAAGTTCACTGTGCCGCGCACAAAGGCTGTATCCCCACGTTAGTCTGCCCTTCCTGTAGATGAGATTAAAATCCCGCAGACTCGCCCTTGTTGTCTGACAGCATTGGATACAGAACGAGCCGCCACTCTCCTAGATTCTGCCGCAGATCATCCGAGCGAAGCCCAAGGCCCGCAGTAAGTCCTTCCTCCCGCCCTCTTACTGAGACACCCCATGGCTGTATATAGTATTCGTCTGCCAGGCCGCCATAACGAAATAGCCGACACTGAGTGGCTTCCACAACAGAAATTTATTTTTTCACAGTTGTGGAGGGGAGAAGTCCAAGATCAAGGTGTCAGTACATGGGATTTCTCCTGAGCATTTTCTGCGTAGCTTGCAGATGGCCACCTTCTCGCCGTGTCCTCACTGGGTCGTTTCGCTGTCTGCACGTGGCCCTGGCATCTCTTTATGTGTACAAATTTTCTCCTCTTATAAAGACACCAGCCACTTGAACTTAATCATCTGTTTAAAGGCCCTATCTGCAAATACGTTCACAGTCTGAGTTATTGGGGTGAGGCCTTCGACACGTTACTGTGGGAATGGACGCAGTTCGGCCCATCGCATGTGCGGCGTGCGTTCTTCCTCAGAGTAACAAGTGATAAGGCCAGCTTGTTCATACAGGTGCGTTCCCGGTAGCGTTTGGGTGGAGGACAGTGACGCATACTCTAACTGGTAGCTGACAAGAGATGGCCTTTAAGGGGGAGGAGCAGCATATGTGGGCCGTGCGGGCAAAAACCGCTTTCCGAAATGGGCCAAAGTGGCCATCGAGATCCAGCCAGTGGCTGGGTGGCGTTGCAATGTTTTTTGTTTGTTTGAGGGCAGAAGCCAAATCTTATTTTTCTTCCTATTTACCCCAGTATCTGAAAGATCCGAATGTGCTGGCACAGTGCCTGACAGGTGCAGGATAGAGAAGGTATTGTTTGTATTCGCGAGGTGTGTCTACCTAAGTTCCTCGTGGCTCCATTCTCTCGCCTGTAAAGTGGGAGCAATAAAATTAAGTTTGTTGTGAGGATCAAGTAAAATAATTCACGTGAGTTGCTCAGCGCGGCGTCTGGCACACGGTCGGGTCTCGTTACCTGTCCACTGTTTGCGGACGCCTCACGCAGGGCTGAGCCGCATCGGTGGACGATGAGAAGGGGAAAGGCCCGGCGTGTTCCGAGCCAGCGGAGCGGCGGAAGCCGAGGCGCGGCGGCGAGGGGCTGCGGGAGGGCCGTGGAGGGCGCCGCACGCCCGGTAAGGGACGGCGGGGCGTGCTGGTCACGGGGGATCTGGCACCGCTGTGTGTCGACCTCGCCGGGGCAAAGGAAACAGCCCCGCGGAGCGTGTCGTTTCCCGGGAGGAGCCGTGTGACAGACCGTGCAGTGTGTGCAGGGGGACGGGGAGAAGGTGCACGCGGCCCGTGTCACGGCCCCTGAAACGGGGCCCTACCTG